GCCTTGTGGATAAGCGGGATGAGTTGCAAACACGGGCAGTTGACACTCGCACGCATATCAATGGCATCACTGAGGTCTGCCTCACTGGAAGCATACAGCGCTGCTCAGCTCATAGATACAACGCGCCAATTTCATAGGAAGGAGGTCTGCCTCACTGGAAGCATACAGCGCTGCTCAGCTCATAGATACAACGCGCCAATTGGTGTCATAGGAAGGTTTTTATCTACGTTGATAAACGTCCAGACCAGCCACAGTCGAGAACTATCGACACATTGGAGCGGCTTGTAAGCTGCTCCCATGTCCCGTAACCACACTGGGTGTGTGGATGATTTTCCCCCCAGTTGTTTAGAGGTGTTAATCATTTTAAAAATCCGAATAGTCCTACGGTGCGGTTTAGTATGCGCTCCACAGCTGGAAAATGTAAAATGCCGCCACAAAACCGGATAGAATCAAACCTAAACCTCATGAGATTTACGTGGTCAAGGCGACAGCTTTGATATAAAAGCCCCACCGACCATGACTGTCAGAGTCACTAGCGACACGCGCCACCCGTCAGTCGTTAAAANGGAAATCGGAAGGCAAAATGGAAGTAACGCTAAACTAAGTGCAATCCCCAATGAGAAATACCTCGTGGACTGATGGCGACAAGACTAGGCGCCAAAAGAACCTAAGCATGTGAGAAAAAGCTAAAGGGTGAGGTTAGTGCAGTTATTGGGGAGCGCTATAACTAATTGGTTAATTCAATTTAACGATAAGGTGAAGTGTCTTGGGTGGGCTATGGTCTAAGCAAGGTTTCGCAACACCTAAAAGTTTTTTTAAAATAATATTTGGCTTCTGACAGACCTTGTCTCATGGTTTACTACAACCAGTGCGAAATTGCAAAGACTGTTATTCGGTGGGAACAGTCGTCTGATGGCTGGCCTTTTGGGTTGCCAGCTAGTAACGCTTGGTAGGGCTAAAATAAAACAAGGATATTTCAATTCATGATAATAAGTGACTATGGAAGTTTATGCACCTGAATAACACGCTAGCACAAGCAGGCCGCCCAAATATGAGGAGATACGCTCAACGCCTTCAATATCCCTTCATCGAAAATTCACAGATTCGGATAATTTAACTTCAGTTTGCACCTGGCGACCATCCATTCCAGATTGAGACACGAGGCCATGCAGTTCGTTGTTATTCTACGATAACAATCAGAGAGATTTACATCACAGGAAATTCCATAAAACACTGACGCACCTGCGGCGTCGGGTGCACAGCCAGGGCCAAAAACAGCACACGCTATGTCAACATCTTCAGCGGGACTGAGGGACAAGTGACGTTGTGATCCACCGTTGCCACCTAGGTCACATCGAGGGTGACCGGTACCCCATAAACACTTCAGCGACTGTCCTCTAGCTAACGTTCCACGCATCTTTGGTGGTATACGATTTTACCGCTGTAAAGTTCCCCTGGGAAAAATTATTATCATAGTTTATTCAAGTGCATCTGGTCCATCGGTGTTGATCGAAGTCGCTCGAGTGGGCACTTTGACTGAACATGTCGCCTCACCCATCAGGTACCGGTTGTTATCAGCTCAAATGTTATCAAGGCTCCACTAAGGCACAGTGGCCACCGTGTGCTTAAATTTGATCTCAACCACTTCTGCTTCGGGAGCATTGTGCAGATAATCCACAGGCTTCATGCAGAGTTTGTCCCAAAGAAACCAACACTACCCAAAAGGATTCGGCCCCCTGGAAAGGAGGGCCCAGCTGTTTTTCAAAAGGAACATAGAAGATGGCCCAGAATTTCGTCAAATACAAAACCGCTGCAAATTTGAAATCTGTCGTGGAACAGAGAAAAAACAAGCCACGATACTAGACCCACCCGGAAGGGCAAAATGCACTAGTTAAGTACATGGGACAATGCGGAAGAAATAGGCTAGACGCCCTTTCCATGGTTGACAGAAATGGGTGCAATCCGGAGTCTAGATAGAAAATTAAGCCGACCTGTATTCAGCTTTACAAATATTATCACATCCGGAATGAAAATGGTATAGTTATGAACGACCTCCACCCGATTTGGTCTTCATGTGGAGGAGAACACTCGTCTCTTGCACAAGGCGAAGCCCTTAATCACGATCGGGTCGTAAGAGGTCCATAAAAGTATCCTGAAGGAATCGCCGCTCGCAGTGGCGAAGAATTTCAACCTGTTGTTTTGTCGTTCACTCAACAAAGGCAGTCTGTCCGATGTTTGGAACGAAGAGGTTGTCAGGCTACTCTGCAGAACTGGTGAAGGTCTATCACCTGGAAGATACAGACCTTTTGGCCGCACCATCCTACCGTGCAATTGCATTAAAAGCTCTGCGAAGGCATTGTACCGCCAACTTGTTACCCAGAGCAATACAGGGTTCCCTCTTAGACCGCTCTTGCGTGACAACCATGATCGTGTTTATGGACAACTCAACCCAAGCTAAGGACGAATGAGTCATACTAAATGCAACGTTTTCCGATTTCTCAAATACGTTCTATCGAGTCCCACACGTCTAATTATTCCAAATTCTTAAATCCCATGGCGTTAAACACTGGATTAAGGCGTGCCTATCAGCTAAAAAAATTCTACTGATGCTGTTCTGCTATTCAACCCACCCTCCCTTGTCAACAGTATCTTCTGAAGTTCCCCAAGTCTCCATTTCTGGACCACAACTGTTTCTGGTCCACTTCAATAATCTTCCAGGTCTTCTTCCTGCGAACGACCCGAAATCCTGAAATTCCGACGCCGGAGCCCTTCAAAATGGCGTAGACGTGGTAAAGCAGTAGTCGCTAGACTGGCATCTGCCTCCGAATCATGTCGCCCGAAGTAGACTCAGCGAACGCTTTTGTCACCCTGTGCGAACGGGCCGAAACTCGTTACGAGGATTGATAGATTGATTGGAACGCATTTCGTGGTGCTTCACTGCTTAATTTCGGAGTCCCGTTACCTCCGATGAGACCTTAGACCTAAGTAAGCTCTATGCGAAACACACCCATTTGAAAACAAGTCTGATTTTGCGAGAAGCTTACCGAGAAACCCAGCTGGATCTTTCGTTTATAATATCTATGAGCAACTGAATTAGCTGCACAAGGCTGCCCCAGCTTTCAAGATATCGCGATAAATATATTGACGTAATATGCTACTCATGAGGCTGCTGAAGAAGGTTCCTGCCGAAGAATTAGAATTTTTAGCAAACTTATGACTAGTGAGCTACGTCCTTTTTGAATGAGGTTTAGCCAACACGCTCTACACGTTAACCAGTGTAGTGGCCTGGCTACCCAATAAGTTAGTTTACCAGATGTGTGGCAAAAAAATAAAAACAATAACGCTAGGTTGGGTATACAATAATAAAGAGGTCAGAGGGAACAGACTCACTAATAATTGTTCTCTTTAAAATAGTCCGTCGTTGGCCCAGGTCAGCAAATAAACAATAATCCAATTATGGTGGTCCAAAGGTCTTCTCCTGAACAGTTCTCACATACAATAGATTCCGAAGATAGTCTGAAATGTATTGATAACAGAGTTAGCACACGAGACTCGCGAATGAACGATGCAAGTGCAAGGGAAATCAGAAGAGAGAGTCGAAGCACGTGAACACGCCTGTATTCTGTGAAATTGTACAAGTGCGCGTTTTTGTAGTTTTTCGTATTCAAACAAAAAACGATTATGCAATTGATGAAATACGTAGCGTTATAATGGAAGTAAAACATAGGTACAAAACGCCACACCAGACTGAGGCAGGCTGGCGAGATGACAAGTAGATTTCAAGCCCAGAGAGTACACTCTTATTTGGCAAAATTTTATCCAGTCAATTTCAATTCAAATTTTCTTATTCTGAGTTGTTGATGGGTGGAATAATCTTCCTCCGACACTTACTCACGCATCATCGTGTACCTAGTTCAAAGCATTAATAGACGAGTTTTATGTAACTGCTCACGCTGCTCAGCTTATTCCAAGCATTAAGAACCCAAAAGCAGCGCTCCTCCTGTTTTCGCTTGTGCATTTCAGGTGAAAGAAAGCCGCTGAACTATCAGAATAAACCCGACTCGGAAAGCTTGGTCGAAAGCCTCGACCCTATGTATCAATCCGTGAATCCATGAAGACTCAGATCCGGGCTGATGTCGAATGAGCAGCGTTCCAAAGGAAGAGGACTCCAGAGGAGAGCCGCTCGAATTGGCGAACATTACGTCGGTTAGATGCATGTTCCCCCAAATGGCCACGGACCGGTGAAATCCGTGTGCTGATTGGTCAGTATATGGGCCGGACAGAACCGAGCATTCTTAGTTGGGAGCTCGTTGTCCCATCATGAAGATGCCCATCTCGTCGTTGTGGAGAATTCTGTTGTCACCGTATAAATTCAGTCGTGGCAGTCTTCCTTTTCTCCTCAAAATGTTTCCTTAAGCTGCTATGCTTTCTGGCATACTATAGCAATCATAAGAGTAGACCGAGAACCAACTTGTGCCTTTCAGGTGGACGACAGCCACTGACTGACAAGAACAAAACCAACCCGAGAAACTTGGGCAAAAGCCTCGATCCTTTGTATCAATCCGTGAAAGCATTGGAGTTGCAAACCGCAAGATCATTGGCCAAATTAGGTCTTGATTCTGGTCCACATGACAATACGATTCACAATGTGACAGACGGACACATGTCACGCGCACAACACCGGTCATGTACGTCGAGGAGACCAACCGTGAATGCAAACGGTTCAATTTGTGAGGTGAGTGGAATGAAATTGTAGCTCCGAGGACTTTCAGCTTCAGGTGAGATTCAAGCTAAGCATGAACAAGGGCTTTTTACACATCTGTTTCACTATTGGATGCAATAATCAAGCCAGCGATCGTGGTGAAGATGCCAGAGACTAGCTGCACACGAATACAGTACAGTCGTCCGGAGAACATGGTGCTACCTAAAGCCAAAGTCCCCTCTTCGTCTGTTGAGAAGATTGCCAGCAAACGTTGTGGGTGCCTAGTTTACTGTAAACTCCAAGGAGTGGATCCATCAAAACTGACAAACCCTGCTAATGGACGATGCTCACGATCAGCCGCACGAGCCTTGTGAATAAGCGGGATGAGTTGCAAACACGGGCAGTTGACCACTACTCGCATATCAATGGCATCACTGAGGTCTGCCTCACTGGAAGCATACAGCGCGTCAAGATTACGATAGAAGGCTGCTCAGCCCATAGATACAACGCGCCAATTGGTGTCATAGAAATGTTGCTATCTACGTTGATAAACGTCCAGATCAGCCACAGTCGAAAAGTATCGACACATTGCAGCGGATTGTAAGCTGCTCCCATGTCCCATAACCACACTGGGTGTGTGGATGATTTTCCCCCGGTTGTTTAGAGGTGTTAATCAC